GAACTGTTTTTCTAAATTTGTACTACATAAAATGTTTTAGTATAAAAGCTATCAAAATTAAACCAAAATGTATTTGTATTTTCAGATTTTAGAAATTAAAGGAAAAGACAGAGGATTAATTTGTGAAAACTACCACTTAAAATTTTGCAATTAGCTGTGTTTTTTCAAGTTAATAAAAGATGGCAGTGTACTTAATATTTCAGTCAGAAGTTTTCCATATTCAGCTTAATTTTTAAAAAATTAACTACAATTTTTGAATCTGTTTTGTCTTTTTGTATCCTTTAGATCACATTAAAAATTTTGAGTATGTGATTCTGATTTGTTAAATTCTGAGACTTAAATAGTTAGCTTTTTTTAAATTTACTTCTAGTGTCTCCTATAAATAATAAAAACCTGTTGGGAAACACATAGAATTAAAAAAAAAATCAGGCTTATTTTAGCTCTGTAGTAAAGAATTTCAAACATCTTCCGCCTCTTCTACCCACAGTGTCGCTTGGAGTCCAGCCATTCAGAAGAGGAGTCCAGTGGACAGGAGGACGAAGAAGACGCCATGTCTCTGTCACCCGCTTCTTCGGCTTCCTGCCACCAGCCGCCTCCGACAGCTCCAAACGAGAGCTCAGCACCCAACTGCCGGCCTGCTAGCCCCGCCCAGTGGACAGTGGAGGAAGTGTCGCAGTTCATTTCTTCACTACAAGGTTGGAATATCCGACTTCTGTCTCCCACCTTTCTACTTTCTATTTTCTCTTTACTCATCCACTTCACTTAAATTGAATCAACTTTGTTATTTTTTTTAAATAGTTAAATTTGAAATTGTCAGTTGCTTCTAAATTTAGAGTTAGCTCATTAACTGTGTAAATCAGGATGGTAATTGTCATATGAGGGAATAAACAAGAGGTAACTGTCAGTGGAAAACTGTACTTATTTTATTTAGCTACCACATAAACTGCTTCTTATCCAAACTCGTTTTTATGCATAGTTTCCTAGGGCTCCCCCAGAGGTCATGAAACCAAACTACAGTGACTCAATATATACAATAGAAACTAATCTCACAACAGTAATAAAGCGATTTATGTTTCTGTGTTGGTGTTTCTACAATTTAAATGAGTTCTATTAAATCACTGTTTCCATCTTTTCTTCCTACTTTGCTTGTGTTGCTGTTGCTCTCAGGTTGCGAGGACCTCGCTTCCCAGTTCTTGTCACAGGAAATTGACGGACAGGCTTTGCTCCTGCTGAAGGAGGAGCATCTCATGTCCACCATGAACATCAAATTAGGCCCAGCCCTTAAGATCTGTGCTCACATCAACAATCTGAGGGACTAACGGTCGAGATCCTGGTCCAGGATCAGACGTGGAGCTGTTGAAAGGGGGAAGGGAGGACCGCCAGGTGAATGTTGATGAGGTTCATTATGATTTCAAAACAGACTCTCCACTTGAACCGAGTGCTTCAGAATTGAATCTTGTTGTCGGATTTCTCTCATATTTGCGAAGATTGAAAGGAATATTTGCTTGGTAATTTATCTAAAAACTGTGTTGGATGAAGATTTTTGGTGAAGGTTCTGATTGCTGCCCAAAATCACTCCATGCAACACATAAATGAAGATTTTATTTTCTTATTGTTTTGCACTTCAAAAACAAATGGCTGTAACATTTTTACCCCAACGTGTAGGAAAATAACTCCTTTTTGAAAGATAGGGGTGTCATATTTCATGTATTTGTGAAATTGAGTTTTTCTAGATCACGTTGATTTATTTGTCAAATTATAAATGGTTGCACAGGCAGCTATTGCTAATTTGGAAGGAAGCTCTGAGCTCTAAAATGGCTGCTTGTGGGTTTTTGTGCAGAAAAGTGTTTATTTGGAACGATGTCTTTTGAGGAAAAATTGTTGTCGAGGTGAAAAGTGTTTATATAGTGAGCTGTTACTCAGTCGGAATGACCATCATTATGTATTAATGCTGGCCTTTTTTGATGGGTTCCCTCTAACTGACAGGGTACAGAGAGAGAACAGGGTACGAAAAACTGAAATGCCGGACAAGATTCCAAATCAAACCCAAAACGCTCACAGTTCTGGGAGAGAAGACTTGAACATCCCAGTGGTTTATTTCACATAATGTAAAGTAGACAAACATGACAGCAGCAAATCTTTAGGATTTCTTTGCAGCCTGAGAAAAAGTTGGATTTTTCTTTGATCATTTTCCAGAAAACACAATATGGAAAAATATTTGAATTTATAATTTATAACAATCCTTATCTCTAAATTGTGAATACTTATCTTCATTTGTATGTCATTTAAAATATTTTTAATCTTAGAATTTCTACACCTTAAAGTGTTTTTTTTTGTTTGTTTGTTTTTTGACAGACTTAGTTTTTTGTTCGGTTTCGAGTTGCTAGCTTACAACACAAATTCAAAAGGGCCATTTCAATCATTTTTTTTTTTTGCATTTGGACCTTGTGGACTTGTGTGTTAAAACTGAGTCTTGTTTGGGCGTCAAACAGAACACTGAAACCTCTCACAGAACAGATGTGTTAACTTTACAAACTTCTTTCAAGGGGCTATATCTGCAGAAGGATAAACCAGTACAGATTTACCAAAACAAAGTGTTAAAAATGTCAGAGTTGATTTAAGTTGCCAAAAATAAAAATATGAATGATTGCTCTTTGCCACACCGCTAGATCAGAAACCAACTTTAGCATAATCTTGGTACATTTTTTTTTTAATACAGAAAAATAAAACCTAACTAATTATTTTTTTTATCTCAAAAGTCCAGAAAAATCTCTAAGATTTGAGTTGGGAAAAGCATTGACATCTGAAATGAAAAACATGCAGGAAACCTGAATTTTTCACTTTGTCTCATTAAGCTTTATTTAAGAAGACCTATCGGTACTGTTTTTAATTATTATTATTCAAACTGTGTCAACAAAAGCTTGTAGGAAATGCTGTCTGAAATGTGAAATAAAAATGAGCAGCAAACGACGCTAAATGCCAGTTGGTAAGGTAACTTTAAGCTGAGTTGTTGTGAACCGTCTTGAGAAAATGGGAAATGTGGACCTACATTTGTCATGAACTAGCAAACCATTACATCAGACTGAATAAGTGTCTGAATAAGAAAACCTTAAGCTATACTGTAGTAAGTGTAAAAAAATGCCTTTATATTTAATTGCACATTTGTTTGCTCGACTTTTTAGTTTGAGCCTTTTTTTATGTCCAAGTTCTCTCATGTTCTATCGTGGCCTTTCTTACTAGTCTCTACACTAGATTTAGACAAGGACTTTTCATATCATTCCTTCTTTTCTACGAACTTCCTCAATTTTTAAAAACTTCTTCTTTCAAGCAATGACATCCATTGCTTTTTTCCAAAGCGTGGCTGAAATAGTAGCTACCTTGATCAAGGAAACTTCTCCGTCTTCCTCATAGCTTTGTCATGTATTGTGTACTTACCACCAATATTTACCTTTGTAGCTAGCTATTTTTGGCTTCATTGTGACTGGTTGTGGCTGCTTTCTTTCAAGAAGGGATAATCCTTGATGTGTGTTTTTTCGGTTTTCCCAGGATTCTGAAGTATTTAAATTTGCTGGTCCTTCCACATGTAAAGTTGGATTAAAGGACTCATTGAATGTGTTGTGAGCCTGTTAGTTCCTGTGTAATGTTTTTATTAGGTGGATCCATGCAGATTTGTTCATTTGATCTACATTTGCCCAAACAAGCAGCACCTTTCATCCCTAAATTACTGAAGATTCTGCAAATCTTTCATTTGCAATAATCAGAAAAACTGCAAAAGGAGTGTGTTCAACAAGGAATGGTTGATGCTATAATGCAAATAAATAATCTAGAAACTGTTGCAGAACTTTGTTTCCGGAGTCTTGATTTTTATCCAGTTGTTTTATAATATAGCTCCACCTCTCCATCCACTGGCTTAGAGTTCATAATTCCATATTGGACTGCAGGGAGGTCTTGCATTTTGTGGCATTTATGAAGTATGTTTCCCTGGCATGGGCATCAATTTTATTTCGTCTTTTGCTTTTGACATAACAATTCACAATTCTGCCAAATCTATTACTTGTTGTAGATAAGAATTGTTTATTTTTTTTCCTTTCATTGTTGGTAAATTAATTTCCCAGCAGGACTTGACATCTAGCAACACCACGAAGGATAGTGATATCTGATTTTATGACCATCAGAGTGATAACATTTAACTTTATCAATCTGAACGTTGAGCAAACTGACCCGATCTAAACCCTGTATCACTCTTTGTTCAATTACCATAAAAAAACATTACTTTTTTCAATTTAATTTATCAAAAATGGTACTTTTTTAAGATACAGCTGCAAATACCCATGCAGCAAGTACACCAGTAACCAAGAAAGATGGCTGTGTCTTTGTTTTTGACTGTTTTTTCTAGAAACGTCTCTAGTTCTAGCTATATTTCCTTGCTGTGAGATATCCTAATGCTGTGGTGAATCTCTGATTCACAACCAGATGCAGTACTAATGGCTTTAAAGACCAATTGGTCAGTGCAACATTTGGTTGCCATGGAGACTGCACATTTATTTGCCAGCTTCACTTTCTTGAAAGTCAAGAGATGTGTCAGGTGCTGTTACGCTACCGAAACTTGTCTGATTTCTTCTTGGCGAATCAAAGACTAGGTTTTATCAATATTCTACAGACAAGAAACAAAATCTATTAAATACTGCTCTGTGTTCATGAAGTCATAATTTATTTGTTTGAGCCCTGCACATAAACCCTGAATCGTATCATTTCATTGTGAAAATATGGATCAAATTAATAAAATATGAGCAATGCTTTTTGGTTTGTCTTTAAAAAGAAGACAGGGACTGACTTTAAAATGATCATAAGTTAAATGTAGACAACCCAGGTATTATTTACCAAAATATATACATATTTGCAAAAGAATAAATTACCTAAAACATACTTCATGGGTGTGCTTCATATTTTGTATTCCAAAACTTCTTATAAATATAAAAACATGTTTTATAAACAAACAATGTAATTGGCATATTTTATTCCCCTGGCTTTTTTTGTACTGTAGCAGTACTTGGGACTTTAAGGAATTTGTTTCATTGGGCTGCGAATAATGGCTCCAACAGTCCTTTGTCACAGCAGTCCCAGGCAATCAGAGCACGGCGTAGTTGAACGCCTCTCCATATCCCGCCTCCCTCATGTATCTTTCCATGTTCAGTGGCTCAGGCACCCGTAGAGCTGTGCTCCCATTTGCCGATTGCTCTCCTTCATGAAGCATCCTAAAGAGTCTGGTGACTGAGGGACGCCCTTGGGGGCTCCAGCTGCAGCATGATTTCATCATGGAGTACCTACAAACACAGTTAGAGTGAAAAACACAAACATGCATATGTGCATTTTACTTAAGCAGTTGCAGAAACACATGAGTGTGCATCCTCAAAGTTTTGAATGCCACAAATGGGACAATCTACATGTTGTATGGGAGCAGGGCACTGTAAATATGTTACAAATAAGATGTTTGGTAATTAATATGAATTACCTTAAAGTAATTTCTGTATGTTTATTTGAATGATCAAATATTTTCCACATATAATCTGTTGTTTTTCAGCTTGATATTTAATTTTATTTTGACATCAAACTGATATGGTCAAGATTTTGTCATTTCTTTTTTTCTGTAAATCAGGTGACAAAGTACCTTTTTCTTAGGCTAAAATTTACTAATATACTCCAAATGTTTTCAGAAACGGAATGACCAGAAACACAATTAAAAATTTTAGATTCAAACTGAAATAGTTCACTAATTTTTCTCTATTAACATAAGTTTATCAGTAGCTGATTTTCTGACCAGCTACTGCCCTTTTTTTGTAGACATGGGATCATAATAATAATTTTCTGCAGCCGTTCTTACAGTGTGTTGGAGCAGTTGGTTGGCCGTTTCACAGTTTTTCCTCTTTGGAGATACTGCAGAAGTTCAGTCGACATGATGTGAGCAAAAGGTGGGTCACCTAAAAGCAGAGAAGTTTTCATTACGTTATTATTTTATGACTTCCAGGCTATCTTGTTTGTAATAGTTTACTTAAAGCATTTACATGACTGATGTTAAAATATTACTAAATTTAACTTGAAAAGAAGATGAATAACATTGATCAATTTTGGAGATTTTTACTGCTCCCTTTTTTTAAAAAAAAGAAACATGATGTAGTTGCAATTTTCTTATAATTTGTAGAAGATATGTTCGTTCATATTAAAATTTAACAATTTATATATTTTTGTAAGAATATTTTGTACAATCCAGAAGAGAAAACTAATAATTCTACCATTCTAAAATATTCCAAACCAGGATATATACTATAAGTTTACAATACTTCCTTCAAGATAGATTTTTTTTATTTTTATTTTTTCAAGGCAGTCTTAAAGAAATGGAAATCATGTCCAACAATCTCATTACACTCCTATTTATACTCCCATTATTTTTGGAAGACTCCTAACTCTACAAGCTGAAGCTCTGCTGAAACAGCTCTACATCCCCAGAGTTTTTATTTTCGGTTAGTGTGTAAATTAGTCATTTTCATAACAAGTTTTAGCTAAAAGTAATAGACATCTGAAGCTAATCTATTTTTTTTATTTGCCACTTCTTTTCCTTAACCTGTGCAGTTTCCTCCTCTTTATTGTTCAAATCTAAACTTTATATAATTATGTGGCTTAAGAAAGTGGAAGAGATGACAAGTTGACACAAAAGCCAGTAAGAATTGGGGATTTTGACATTTTTCTCAATAGTGCTTGTAGGATACTCACCTAATGTGACCATTTCATAAAGGAGGATACCGAAGGACCATCTGTGAAATTATTTGAAAAATAACTTTAGGTCACTTAAGTTTTTACCAGGTTAAACTACAGCATTTGAAAAGTCCAGATGTGCAGCAAAAATGTTTTAATGCAGCAGATTAACAGTGAAGTGAATCATTCTGACATATTTTGAAATGCCAAATCCTGACATATAACATCCAGATTCAGTCTCTCCAATCACTAACATCTCACTATCGTTATGTTTGTTATAGGGAACTTAAACACTTACACATCGCTGCTGTTACTGGCCGTTCTCCTGGCCAGAACTTCAGGTGCCTGCCATTTCTTCAGCTCCATTTCCTCCACCAGCCCAGCAGTGTCGACCTGTGTTCTGTGATAAGCTGAGCCCAATCCCCACAGTTTGGCTGTCATGTCCCCACCAACCAAAACACTGCGAGCGCCAATGTTCCCATGGATAGATCCCTGACTGTGCAGGTAATCCTAGGATGAGAAACACGACATATGCTGGAATATAAGTAAAAAGTAAATGGAAGTAGGAAATTTCAGAAATGTGAGTATAATTAGAAGTACAGCAGTTCAACTAACCAAAGCAGAGGCCACTTGTCCTGCCATGGTGAAGATCATTTTTTCTGTCATTTTATGACTTGAATTATCCTTTAGTAAGAGAAAAGTGAGGGAAGTTAAGGGCTTCCAAGTTCCGATGCATGTTTTGAGATCTAAGTAAACTGAAATACATTTAAGTTGGTGCGACATTAGGGCCAAAATTTAGAATACTGGGCAGTCAGTGGTGGTTATGTAAGGGCATGTCAATCATCTCAAGAATTACACTATACTAAGAAAGGTTTTCATAGTTAAAAAGTTATATTAATACATTCTTAGTTTCAAGATAATTTAAATTAATCTCTTCTATTTGTCACTTTTAAAGAAATAGTCAGAACTTAATGACATCAGTAGTTCCTTTAGAGGACACGAACACAGCTAAATAATTAAACTCAGAGCTTAATACAGTGAAAAGACTAAAACTGGAAAAATATCTGCTTACTGTTAATAAGTGGAAAGCATAATTTCAAAATAATTAAAAGAAAATGGCTTTTTTTTATTGTGTTTCGTAGATGATGGCTGATTTAGTTCCAGATATTATTACAGCTTCTCAAACAAACCGAATCACAAGTGATGACATTTTTATTTAAACACGAGTCTAAACCCACAGATATTATCAATCTTTCTGAGAAGAACAATGGTGCTCTACCTCTCTGCACTTCCACAGGAACCCTAGTAAGTCTCTGTGCCTCAACTCCTCCAGCACTATCACTAAAGGCGACCGCACAGAAACCACGCCCAGCACAGCAGGAATAAAAGGGTGAGGGCCCAGTCCTCCCAGGAAGGATGCAAACCCCAGAAAGTGCTGTTTCTCACTGGTACTCGCATTTTCTGAAGAAAAATGTGGATAAGAGAAGTGATTTTAAAATAGAAAAAATATATATATTTAAACCTGAACGATTTTAGCAGAAAGTGCTGAAAACTTGCAGCTTTGGAGATTTCATTTTCTAAGAAATTTTAAATTAATTTTTGATTTAAAATTTTTTTTGTCAGTACTTGGGGGAAAAAACTATTTACCTTTTAATGCTCTCAAGATGACGTCCTTGTTTTCCATGCGAGCTCTGTAGAGGCTTACTGTGTCTCCTGGTTTGATATGGAAAGATGGCGTCAATGGAGTGACTTGACTAAAGTTTCCAAGAGGCCTCCTTGTGGACGTTTGTGGTTCTGCATCCGTATGTCTTTCTGGAGAGTGATGTCTTGTAGCATGTCTCTCTGGAGAACGATGTCTAGTAGTGTGTCTTTCTGGAGAGTGATGTCTTGCAGCATGTCTCTCTGGAGAGTGATGTCTTGTTGCATGTCTCTCTGGAGAGTGATGTCTTGTTGCATGTCTCTCTGGAGAGTGATGTCTTGTTGCATGTCTCTCTGGAGAGCGATGTCTTGTTGCAGCTGCATGTCTGTCTCTAGTTCTATGTGGTGCTGCAGTCCCATGCCTCTCTGGAAATTCATCTTGTGGCTTCACATTGTGATGTGTGTTTTGAACTCTCATTGGCACCTCTTCATGTTCAAGAGGGTCAATCCCTGGGGGCGCTTTTTGAGAGAAATAATACAGAATAAATCATCTGTTTGATTAGTCGGAAAGAAGTAATTCACAAAAAGAGTAGACCAAAAGGAGTGTACCATCTATTCCCTGTAGGTGACGTCTGTGATGGGGGTGACGGTTGTTGTTGTGGTTGTGGTTTTGCTGTGAGTGTCTCTGGTTTGTGGTGTGCTGGTGAGTGTGGTATCGAGCAGGAGTTCTGACTCGTGTCCGCTCTCTCTGATTACAGCACAGTAATATAAAAATGATCACTAACGTGATCACAGTGAGCGAGACCAACAACGCAGGGACGACAATCACTCCAAGCTGATATTCTCGTGTTACTGTGAGAAGAAAGACAAAGAAACATGAAGTCCAAAAAAATGCAAAGTTCTTAAAATTTTTAGTCCTATATATTTTTGTTCATTCTGCTGTGTTGTCTCGTGTTGACAGAAATTTCTTTTGTCTTTTCTTTTCCCACCAAAAAGAAAAGAGTTCACACTGTGTGGAGCTATACATGGCAGTTGTCTGTGGTTTAAAACATGTTGTCCTACTGTAAAGTCTAATTTATGTAATCTGCTATAAATATTATTTTAAATATTGAGGGATCCTTATTGTTTTTATTTTAGCTGCATATTTTCTTTAACAGGAAATATGCATTGTGCAGTGATATGTCAAATGTTGAAAGACCAGTCATGGTGATCAGGACTACTGGAAAAGGTATTGAACAGCAAGATTTATGTCTGATTATATACACATAAATACAAAATACAAATCAATTACATTTTTGTTTACAACATTCTCCCATTATTTGGCAACAAAATAAACAAATAATTTTATCCAAATTAATTAATTCCTCATTTATAATTAATACAGAATTAATTTATAATCTATGAGTTATAAATTATTTTATATTTAATTTATAAATTAAATCCTAATGCTGGGATTAAGCCTCAAACTCTTAATATCTATGAAACACTGATTAAAAATATATGTAAGTGAGATAAAATTAAACGGTAATCACTAAAAAACTGTAGATTTTATAGATTTTACAGCAAACTTCTAATCAACCCAGGAAATCCTGAGATGTGTATTTTTTAATTGCTTGTTGATTGTTTCTTTGTTTTTGGTCCTGTTTCTTTTCCTTCAGTTGCTCCCTGACCTCCATATTGATTCTTTTCTCCACCCTTTAACCGTTTAGTGTTTATTCAAATGAAGCTGATTTATTCTATGTCAATTCTAGTATTGTCTCTCAAATCCATGGATTTACACACCCTCTGCTGTTTAACACAAAGCTCAGCTGTCTTCTTGATGTTAAAGAATGTGAAGCTACTGTTGGAGTTAAACAACTCCTATTCTGGTTCTGACACATTTTAAGGAGTGGTGTGAACTTTGTGGAATGATATTAATCATTATGTGACATTCTCATTCAAGGCTTGACTTGAACTTTCAAGAGCACAGCTTTTGATTTCCAGCATTCTCCTTCTGCTCATCTTGAATCCACAAATATTTTTTCTTAAATTAATGTTTTATCGGACAAAGAGGTAAAACCAGTTGCTAACTAACTAGTATTACATTAAAAGGCAAACCTGAGACTTTTTTTTACTTCATTTACAGCCAAATACATTTCATCTGAGGAAGCTTTCTAGACATTTATCAGATGTAGACATGGAAAAGCAAATGCGTTGCTTCCTTATTCCATTTCATCCCTCTTCCTGCCCCCTTCACTGATTTCTGGTTTGGAACAAAATTTATTTAATAGCACAATAACGTATCTACTTTTTCTTCATCTAAACTTACTGTGGTTAATTAGTCTCCACTTGTCTCTTGTTGCACAATTCACCTCTAATTGTCATTATGAATCATTCTCCTTTAGTTTTTTCAGTCACTGCTGGTTTATCTGCTTTTTCTCCATTTTCTCCTCTCTGAATTTTCATGTTCCATTTCCTGCACTTTGTTTGGGATTCTTAGGATTTGAGACTTTAGATATTTTTCTGATAAGTTTTTATTTAATGTATTAAACATTTTGTCCCACATTCTTCTCTGTCTCACATGATGTCTGTATTTGGGACCCACAGTCATTGCTTATAAAAACTTTAGCTGTTATTGTTCGTTCAAACATGAAGGCTTTAATTTTTTTTTCCATAGTTCTGAATAGTTTTAATCTATTTTCTCTCAAAAATTATCTAGTCAAAATTTACATAATTCATATTTTTAAGTCAGTAATAAAAGAAATCTCTATAAACATATAAAAGCTTAACTATGTCATTTGTAATGCCAGCACTCCTTTTACAGTCAAATTGAGCTTATGTTTCATTCAGCAGTTTAGGTTAGCTTTAGGATTATGTGAACAATTTTGTTTAAAATAGGTCATAAGTTTAAAAAATATTATATTCTGGCATTTTTTCAGCCTCATACAGGAAGATAAGTACAAAGTATATAAGTATAAACAATCAGGGTGGGAATGGCAAATATAATATAAAGTTTTGAAAATGTTAAGTATTTAACATTAGCAGTTTTTATTACTTACTACAGAGCCTGTCATCTGGATCACAGGGACTAATGTCTGTGTAGTTGGTCGTCATCCTGTAGAAAACAGGAAGATCATAAAACAGACATTTCAGCATTGCTGGATATCAGGCAGACACATTTCCAGTAACCAGCAGAAAAAGACCAATGCTTTTATTTGTCAGCCAACTTATGTAGTTTGTTACATAATCCAACACACACTTGCACATGCCACAGTGCGGATCAAGAGAACAGAACTAAAACACATTTACAAGGTAAAACATGACTGTAAAGGAAAAATAGCAGCACACACAGAAAGGCAGTTCCCTTTATGTAATATTTAGATGTAACACCTCTTTCCTTCCAGCGGAAAGTGTTTGTATATTGAAAGACAACAAGTTCATGCATCAGGTTACAACAGGAAACCTCTGTGGTCTTCAAAATAAAAAGCTGACATCAGAGAATGAAGAGATATTAAGATAACTGATTTAAATGGCGATTATTGGTGCTATTATGGCACTGAATTTGTTTCAAGGTTTGTCTGGCACCATATTAAAATGCACATATTAAATCAAATCAGTTTTATTGGTATTTTTGCCTGACATACAATCATATTCAATACATTAGAACTTAGGTCCAGTGAGTCTCATTTGTCAGATTAAAAGTATAAGTTTTTATTTTTTTAAATACATAATAAAGAGTCAAGTAGATAACCATCATCTAATGCTTTATGATCTTTAACAGAATTTGAATGTTTGGTTTTTTGAGAACTGAGGTTATTTTAAGACATTTTTCAGATAAATTTTACATTTTTCTGTCAAACTGAATATATTTCCATTAAATTTTTTTGTTTCTTACCTTCAAAGGCCAGTTTTACCAAACAAATTTAAAATCATCACAAGAGAGCGATAATAAGAACAGTCTACACCAAGAACAGACAAACATCCAGCAATGCCGGATCATACAAGTCCTTTATTATTTATAACTTATAAATCTACTATGGAATATTTGCATAAGTTAAAAAGTGAAACACAGCATGTGGGAAAAAAAAGCGTACAAAAACAAAACACAAAGTCATGATGGCGTTGTTTGCCTTCTGACTTATATGTCACTGAACCAGTTTGACAGCATTGCTGCGACTATGATGAGCTCTTACTGTACTGACAGAGTGAAAATGCCTTTTCACAATTGGAAATTAAACTGTGAAATTAAATTTTCAACTGTGAAAATTAAAAGTAGTATTGTAAAAACATTCAGTCAATGGAAAAGTTGTTGCAAATTTGTGGACTAAGACAAAGACATCCTGAACATGACAGTCCATTCAATAATGTTTAGACTGTAAAGTGATGCTATCTGCTTATAGGAGCAGAATGTGGCTTAGGTTTTAGTCAACTGGGAGATGCAATGCTGTATAAAATGCAAAAGCAGAACAAAGAGAAGTATTCTCAAAGCCACCGTATTTACATCTTACCTGGCCACCTGTGTGAGACCGCTGAGGTGTAAAACTCTGTGCTGTAGGAACTACAAATGTATAGTTTCCTCTTTAGCTTTCCATATTTGTTTAGAGCAGTAGAGTAAATTCCAGTCCTTCCTCTCAATTGTCATTGTTCTCAGCAGATAAAACCACAAACAGACACATTTCCATTAGAGGTAGACATTTTTTAAAGTGTAGTTTGTGTTGTGTTGTCACCTGCATAGTGCTATTCTCTCACTCGTCCTTCCACTTCAGTTTCTCTCTCAGGTTTTCCACACCCACATCCCGTCCAGCACCCTCACCGCCCTCATGCAGCGTGTCATGAGGCTGTGTTGTATTTTCCGTATGTCATCCATTGCATGTGTGCGCTAGGAAATATTCAAATCGTTGAAATCAGCATTTTGAAAACATTACTAAGACCTGGCTTCTTTGTGTTAATGTCACATTATGGCTGCAGTTTTTAGCCTGCTGTTTTAATCTGTTTTAAACTAAGAACTGAATTATGAGCATTAGTAGAATGTTAAAATATTTAGAATCAAGCTCAAGTTCATTGCAGCGATTCTCATTCATCCAGCTTTTTTTCTCCAAATTGAAATGTACTTTGAAATCTCATTGAATAATCCAAAGCAAAGTCGTTTATAATTGTGATCCCTATAAACGACTATAAACGATTTAGTTAGTGATTTAAAATTTGTGTGTACTCAGTATGCATGCAGCTAAACACAAAGTAAATAATTATTCCCACCTAATGACAACTATGGGTTTGTGTTGGCCTCTCATAATGTAACAATGACATAATCTGACTTGTTTTGATTTAACAAGATGTGAAAAATAGTAAGAAGAGCCAAACTTTTACTCTTCCTTGCTTAAACCAGAAAGTGTTTGCAAGTTTTAATTTATTAACCTGGATATAGACTCTTGCTTCATTCTGCACTTCAAAAATAGATAGTATTGTCAAGATAACACATTTGTCATTGTGACATACAGAAGCATTATTGATTATTTCTACATCAAAATACATTAATAATATTACAATATTATTCAAATTAGCTATCATCTAGATTATTTAATTTGGATTTACCAAGTAGAAATCAGAGGACTTGACAGAAATTCATTAATTTTGTCACAACTTGAGGCGTGACCACAGCTAAATGAACTTTTCACTTACTTCTGAGTCACTTCCACGTCTTTGTTCCAAAATCAAGTCGGTACACTCACACACCCATTAGCAAATTAGCATGTTGCTCACCTGTCATTTTCCTGCTTTGTTGATTTGCATCAGTCATGAAAAATTATCACATGATAGATAATCTTTGCTCGGTTCTTTTTTGTCTTCTTATATATTTATAAAAACACTTAAGTCAAAAGCTGAGTTTTATCAGTTAACAATTGAACAAAACTTTGATTGAAGAAAATGTGGTCAGGTTACAACTGCAAACATATTTTGCTTGATGTAATAAAAAAATCTTGATTCATGCTCTGTTTACCACGGCTTTCAGAGATAATGCGGAAAAAACTCAACTTACCTATGATTCAATAGGTTGTATAATCAACCATTGGCTGAAACGAGATACAACCTTGTGGAGGGACTTTTTTTTTCTCAGCTCAGGTTCAATAAGTTTTCAGGTTTTTGCTCATACATAAGTCAAGTCATGTCAAGTTTATTTGCCAAGCAAATTTCAGCAACAAAGTAGTTCAAAGTGCTTTATACAATAAAAACACAATACAATAATAAGCGACTATGAAAAAGGCAATAAATGCTACATTTGGTCAAATGGTTCAGATCATTCTAGTTGTGGTCAGGTTTTGTCTGTCACACAACAATTTGACTCTACAATACTTTGGTATATGGAAAAGTTCATGGTCATCTCATTATCTGTGAAATGCCAAGGCAGAAAGTAGCCTAAATCCTTCCACCATTGTGAAAGCGGCTGTGGTGTTTTTGTGCTGATGCTTATTATGATGCTGTAAATGATGGTCAAGATGAGACTTTTTGGTCTCATCTGTCCAAAGGACATTGTTCAAGAGTGTATTTTTCAAATCTAAGTATGATGTTGACACAACTTTACCACTGCCAAGTTTTTGAACTACAGTTGCTTATGTTGATTCTAATGACCAGCAATTTACTAAACTCCTAAATACACACGGTTTGTTTACTTGATTTAAATTTCTTTAAGGCTAAAACAATGATTCTAAGCAAAGAGATTTATAATAAGCACACATGTAATTGATCTATCTGTGAATTCAAAGAACAGATTAGCAGTTTTAATAAAAATCAAATCAGAAGCATGTTTAACTGTGAACCAAAACCCGTCTAGGAATGCTGTTGGGCGATTGCTCCCATGTTATGCTTTCTAGTTTGAACTCAGGAATCTTGACAAGCAACACAGTCACCATGACGAAGTCTTCCACACTGATGGCTGGAACAGGAAGAACATTGAGTACTTTCAGTGTGACTGACTTCAATTCATACTGTCTGTTTCTGTAATGGCACAAATTCACAAAATGGCAGTCACAATCCAAATCTTATTTAAAATAAAAATGACAAAATACTATGGTAATTATCAGGAAATATTTGAAATGAGACATTCTGCATCCCCAGACACCAATCAATCCATCAATCAATCAAATTTTATTTGTATAGCACATTTCAGCAAGGCATTTCAAAGTGCTTTACATCATAAACACAAGAATACAAAGTCATGCAACATATAATAGACAGTACATTGTTACATATTACATTTGAAATGAAACTCTAAACAGGTGTGTTTTTAATTGCGATTTAAAAGAAGTCAGGGTTTCCGCTGTTTTACAGTTTTCTGGAAGTTTGTTCCAAAGTTTTGGTGCATAGATGCTGAAAGCTGCTTCTCCTCTCTTGGTTCTGGTTCTGGGGATGCAGAGCAGACCAGAACCAGAAGACCTGAGAGTCTGAAAGGTTGATACAACAACAGCAGATCTTTGATGTATTGTGGTGCTAAACCGTTCAGTGATTTGTAAACTAACAACAGTATTTTAAAATCTATTCTTTGAGCTACAGGGAGCCAGTGGAGGGACTTTAAAACTGCTGTTATGTCTCTATCTTCCTGGTTTTAGTGAGAACGCGAGCAGCAGCATTCTGGATCAGTTGCAGCTGTTTGATTGATTTGTTGGACAGGCCTGTGAAGACGCTGTTACAATAATCAATGCGACTAAAGATAAACGCATGAATGAGTTTCTCTAGATCTGGCTGAGACATTAGTCCTCTATTCCTGGAGATGTTCTTCAGGTGATAGAAGGCTGACTTTGTAATTGTCTTTATGTGGCTCTGGAGGTTCAAGTCCGAGTCCATCACTACTCCCAGGTTTCGGGCCTGATCGCTACGTTTTAGTTGTAATAACTGAAGCTGTGCATTGACTCTAGATCGTTCCTCTTTAGGTCCAAAAATAATGACTTCAGTTTTGTTTTTGTTCAGCTGGAGAAAGTTTAGGCACATCCACACATTTATCTGCTCTAAGCATTTATTCAGTGATTGGATGGGTTCAGAGTCACCTGGTGACATCGTAATGTAGAGCTGTGTGTCATCCGCATAGTTATGGTAGCTAATATTATTTCCTGTTATGACCTGAGCTAGTGGGAGAATATAAATATTAAATAAGAGGGGTCCCAGGATTTAACCTTGGGGTACCCCACATGTGACCTTTGACCTCTTTGATAAGAAGTTTTCAATTGAAACAAAGAAATCCCTGTTCTTTATGTAAGATTCAAGCCAGTCGAGCACCGAACCGGAGAGTCCAACCCAACTCTCCAGTCGATTCAGTAATATGTCATGGTCGACAGTGTCAAAAGCTGCACTGAGGTCCAACAGAACCAGCACTGTGGTTCTCCCACAGTCCGTATTTATATGGATATCATTGAATACTTTTACAAGGCCAGTCTCCGTGCTGTGGTGAGCACGAAAACCAGACTGGAAAGTGTCAAAGCATTTGGTCATCATGAGGAAACTATTTAATTGTTTACACACAGTTTTTTCAATAACTTTGCTGATGAATGGGAGGTTTGAGATCGGAGCAACCACTGGATATTCCATATCATTGTGGGAAGCCAATGATACTATATCCACAGCCGGGGATAATTTACACCATGTCCGAATGCAAGTGTGTAACAGAGTGTGTGTGTGTTGGTGCACATGCTGATGAGAGGATGTGTGCATGTGTGCCAGGGAACGTCCAGAGCAGTCCTGGTAATGCTGAGACGCCCCGTGAGCGGCTGGGTTTATTTTTGGGTCAGTGACAGTGTGTCGATGGCTGCAGATGCGTCGGACAGGAAGGCTCTGAGGTACAAGCAAACGCTGGTCAGTGTCCTCCTCCTCTTTCTTTCCTCTTTCCTGACACTTTTCCTCACTCTGTCTTAGTCCATTTGTATCTGTCAAACATTGTTAAGTCATGTTTTGGTTCATTTGCAACGCGTCAAGGGCTTTTCCTGAATTGCTCCCTTCATGACGTACCTGTATGGTCAAATCAAAGTTGTGTGGATGGGTTTGTGTGGAGCATTTACCTAAGACAGTGTTCTACACTTGGTAGAATATAAGTTGCTGAGACTCTGATCTTGGCATGTGCGTACACACTTGCGCACATAACACGTTCCGTCCATCTTGCTGCTTCTCATCGTTGATTCCTCCACCTGTTTTCTAGCCTCTCTGCACCTCATTTCTTAAGGCCTGCCTGGACTTAACACCTGTCAGAACAACTTCTGTGCTTGATCCAGGTGTCTATTTTTCACACAGTTACCATACATGTAAATCTATGTAGCAGTGTGTGGGTGTTCATGTTTCTGTGCTGCTGTTTTCATATGTTTGAACCTCAGTGTGTTTTTGTGCATGTGTCCTTGATGTGTTTTCCAATGAGGAGAAACCTGATCTTGGAGTAGAGTCTGACCCCATTCATGTAGGTGTGAGGAATGCAGCGTAAAGGGTGAACATCTGGAGAAGGAGATTTCATGCCTGATAATTTTCACGCCGTGTCGGTGGATGGTAATATTTTGCAATAATGACTTTTTTGGCATGAGAAACATTGAAATTGCAGCAAACCCTAAATTTTATCTGTTTTGAATAAAAGGGGAAGTTGTGTATTTAGAAACTGAAAGAAGCAAATACAGGAATGTAAAGTTGCTTTCTTACTTGCTTAGTTATACATTATTTTAACAAATGTTCTTATAATGGATCACAATAATCATGTAGCATAAATTAATCCT